ACACACACACACACACACACACACTTCTCGTCATCGTCGTTGTCCTCCTCCTCGTTAACCCCGCCGTCCTTTTCTTTCTCCCTGTCCTCCTCCTTGTCGCTGTCTACTCCGCCATCCTTTCTCGTCGTCATCATTCTCCTCCTCCTCCTCCTCCTTGATCATGTCAACTCCACCCCGTTTCCCGTCGTCATCGTCATCGTTGCCGTCCTCCTCCTCCTCGTGTTTACTCCGTCTGGCTTTCCCGTCGTCGCCCTCCTCCTCCTCCTCCTCCTTGTCAACAGCGTCCTATTTTCCCATCGCCGTTGTCCTCGTCCTCATCAACTCTTCCCTCCTCTCTCTCTCCCTCTCCTCCTCCTCCTCCTCGTCCTCCTCCTTGTCAACTCCGGCTTCCTCTGTCCTCCTCCTCCTCTCCTTGTCTTCCTCCTCCTCGACTCCTCCCCCTCCTCCTCCTCCTCCTCCTCCTTTTTGGTTTATTTATTTTTTATTTGATCCATTTCTCGATTAATGCGTGTCATCTTGGCGCAGGGGCCATGCTAATCTTTCCCTTGGGACATTCATTAAAATTGGAAGAGAAGATTAGCATGCCCCTGCACACGGATGACACGCATAAATCGAGAAACGGTTCCAAAAAAGGAAGAGGAGGACGAGGAGGATGAGAAAGAAAATGAGGCCCGAGTTGAGAAGGACGAGGAGGAGGAGGAGGGGGAGTAGGAGGAGAACTAGAGAAGGAAGAGATAGGAGGCGGAGTTCATGATGAGGAGCAGGAGTAGAGGCGGGTTTTTTTTTTTCCCCGGACATAAAATATAGGCATTCCGGACCAGAGATCCGGATCTGTCCGGATTTTTCAGATTTCCGGAAGTCTGGATGGGCCCGGGAGGCCCGGGGTCCAGTCCGGTGTAGCTATGGAATAAAGTTCAATAAACACTGAATCAAAAGACATGGATAACTTGGTTACTCACCCCTTTGACCACGTAAATCCGTAACTCGTTGTCGCAATTTTGACTTACACGAACTGAAATCGTCAGGTCCTACCTGGTTTCCGCCCAAAACCAAACCACATTCGTTTTTTTTGTTTTTTCGATTTAGGAATGAATGCCTAGATTAACAATTCCCGAAGGGATTTTGAATCTTGCAGAAGCTTCTTCATCTGGTAGATGAGAATCTGACACAATGTGAAGCGTTATCAACACCTCTTCTAGTAGGTTCGATATATGCACTGTGCACTTACACAAGTGTATGAAGGAATTAGCCAGCCTTGGTGGATCAAGACTTAAGTGTACAGGAACTTTTTTTCCTGGAGGGCAGTGGAGGCAGCTATAAGTGAATATCAGTGTCTAAGTCCCTGAACCCGGTCCCATGTCCTGTAGCCCAATGCACCATAGACCCAACCGTTAGGCCCTGTAGGCCCCATCTTTACGGTAGGTCGAATATGTCAGGCGGATTCGGTAGGCCCAAGTAGTTTGTGGGATCGCTCTGTCAGTTCAGTCCAGTCGCAATTCAGTCGCAAAACTCCGGAAGTCTTGGAAGCCAATCACTGCCGACATTAGAAGTGCCGGTCCAAAAAAGTCCAAGATGGGGAACTGCGTCAATGCAATTTTTTTTGTGCTTGTAGCAGAAGCGCTGTTGCGCCCCTGCTTACTCTGATTTCGTCTGCCTTATCCCTTTAACCACCAGTACACGGGCCCCAGCCTTGCAGAAAAATGAACTTGTCGCCACAAGAAGATTCCGCGCCTCGGGGAAGGCCCGGTAGTGCAACGTGAGGAGAAGCCGCTGCGCCCAACAACAAAGGGCAAATGGACTGAGGTGTTGCTCCTGGTTCATTCCGTGCATGTTTCAACATGCACGGCCGTAGAAATAGCAGAATGCCCTGCCTCGCTGGCAGGGATCATGATGGAAAAAAGAAAACCTTTCATCGCAGTTACGGGCAGGCCTGGATGAATCTGATTGCAATCACATCCAGAGCGTAGCTGAAAAAGTGTCGGCGTGAATTTGCCCTTTCTTTCTTTTTCTTTTTTTGTTTTCTGAACTTTTCTCTGAAAAAAACAGGTGTTTGTCCTTTCTGAACACACTCGCTGCCTCCCTGCCACCAGCCCGTTTCTGGTAAGGGCATAATAGCACCGCCACTTTCCCGAATGTATGTGGCTGCAATAACGGCCCCGCCTGAATGAATCTGATGGTGAACATGCGCCCTTTCATTTTTTTTTTTTTTCCCATTGTTTTTCAAAAAGAAAGAGAAGTGTATCGTCATTCTGAAATCACTCCCCTTGAGAGGGGGGAAGGATGTGATTCAGAGTGTCAGGCCCTTTCTTCCCAGGGCACACTCAGGGCATACTCACACTAGCACTTTTCGAAGCGCATCTGACTGCGATTACAGCCAGAGCTGGATGCATCTGACCGCAATCACGTCCATAAATATGTAAAAAGGTCCTAGTGTGAGTATGCCCTCACTCTAGCTCTTTCCTGAATGTATCTGGTTGCAATAACGGCCTCTCTGAATGAATCTGAAGGCAAACGTGTGTCCCTTTCACTTTTTTTTCCCTTTGTTTTTCAAAAAGTAACAAAAGAGTATCGTCATTCTGAAAAAAAAAAAAAAAAAAAAAGAAATCACTTCCCGTTAGAGGCGGGGAGGAAGTGGTGCAGAGTGTCAGCCCGTTCTTCCCAGCGCACAATCATGCTAGCTCTTTCCCGAAAGTATCTGGCTGCAATTAGGGCCATGCGTGGATGAATTTGAAGGCAATAGCGTTCAGGAGTTGTGACTAAGCCGTCGGAGCTTGTCTGGGTGGCTAGTGAGTGAAAACATCATCCTCCTTTCAGTCCATGCACTGCCAGCAGGTCCAGCACTCAATCCGAGCAAGGCCGGTACCGGTACCGACCTCTAATCTCCAAGAGCTGGTACCGGTTGCTTTCAGGCTCGGCAAAATTCAAAACTTTGGCTCGTACATTTAGCCTCGGGTGTGCTGGTGGTTTAACATTCTGCTGGTAGACTGCTGCACAGTCCCACATGAAGGCACCTCTGTATAGCTGTCAGTTGATACTATCCCGGAAGGTGTACCACTGTTTCACAGAGGTCTGCGTACACAGCATAAGGACGCGAAAGGTCTAGGAGGGGTGGACAGGTGTGTTCTGCAGCAGCGATTCCAAGCACCAGGTTCCTACATACTGCAGCCACATGACTGCAACTTTGTCAGGGAGTCGATGCCACTCTGCTGCTGTTACCAAGGGAGTGAGAAGCTGTAACATGGACTAGAAAGACTAGATAGACTAGATGAGGATGACTTTCTGTTGATTCTCTGTCACTCAAACAGGAAGTAGGATGGATCATCTCTGGTCGCCATGGAAAGTTTTCTGGGCTTGAACGACTTAGCCTTTCTGTGCTGTTTTTGGTTGGCTGAGAGAATGCAGCAGAGAGTAGCAAATCCTCGATTGGCTTTTTGGTGATGCTTGTTGGCAGAGCATGTGTCCTGTCAAGAAACCAGAAATTTGAAGTTTTATCTTTACTATTGAGAAATGCAGCTATTACTGTTCTTTGAGATCCCAATTCCTAAGAATTGCTACACGTTTGGATGAGTGTCTTTAACATGCCACATTTCTGCATCTGTGTTTTGTCCACCATCATTGGCCAAATCCCCCTTTCCCTCGATGTGAAAATGTATGGGAAAAGGACTAATGCCAAATTGTGTTCTAGGCCACATTTGTGCATCCGTGATTTGCCCAGCATCACTGGCCAATCCCCCTTTCCCTCGGCATAAAAAATGGATGGAAAAAGGATTGACAGCACATGTTGTTCTAGGCTGAGAGGAGCTCCCTCTTGTTATTGCCTAATGCTCTTCCACGTTCCTTATTATTTCCTCTCTTCCGCTAACATGTGTCACTCATTCTCCAACTAGTTTCATCATTCGATGTTGACATCAACATCAAATCTTGTACATGCAGTCTCTTCCATGGGTTGTTGATGCCCCTGACCCTATTGCCATAGCCATAGGTTCAGCCCATAGCTGGGAAGCACTAGTTTTCAGATCTAGTTTTCACATTCTTATTATTTTAATTGCCAAAATAGTAGGGTTATCGGTCTTGTTTACCACATTACGATTGAATGCCACCTTTCTTATTTCTCGTGTTGAATCCAGCCGCCTTCCGCCTTCCTCTCTAACGTTGTTCCGTTCTCTCTGAAACACTTCTTTTTTTCTTTCTACCCTCTTTGTTTCCCCTCCATAACTTGTTTTTTTTTTCTCTTTTCTTTTTCTTTTCTTTTTTTTTTTTCTTTTTTACTTTTCTTTTCTTTTCTTTTTCTGTATACGGTTTATCCAGCGTATAGTTACACCGGCTGGGTTAGATCATTACCCGCTGAATAATGCATTACTTAAAAAGGTGCAGTCTTTGGGTTTGACAAAGACATTCCCCTCCTCCCCTCCATAACTTGTATCATTTACCTGGTGTCTTTGTAATTTTGCCACCAAGGTGAGCACACAAGAAATCATCTGCTCTGGCCTTGTAGTGTGCAAGGAGATTCTGATCATCATTTTTCTCTGCCTCTTCACTTAACCAAAGACCTGCAGCCATCACCTGCACTCCCACAAGCTTATCGTCCCAGCTGAACTGTTGCCTGTTGTTGTTGGTGGTTGTTCCTTGAAACTTTGCTGCATTAGGCCCAAGGAAGTAGTCGGCAAATGACCTCTGTACATTCATTGTGACAAAACAAATATCAGATAGTTACGCGTTTGAATTTAAGATCAGCATATAGGGCAGATGAAGGGAATATATAACGTAGACAACACAGAAATCAAGTTCCGATCTGACAGTCAATCCTTCCAAAGGGAAGCTTCATTTGTGCAATTCCATTTGTGGAAAACTGTCTACCAAGGTAGTTTTTTTTTTTCCCTTTTAATTTTTAAAGGAAAAAAAAAACTACAGCGGTCTTCTCCTCATCGGGGAACAAGCTTTATTTTTACTACGCTATTTTCTTCTCCCAATACTGTGCCCATCTCACTCTAGCTACCTACCTACCCCACATTACCCACTTACGTGTCCAGCACGGAGGCTCTTTCATTCTTCCTCAAGCTACCTACCTGTTGTACCCTACCGTCTTCACCCGAATAGAACGCCCTGTCATTATAGCTGCATTTGGCCCAACTTTCAGTCCAGATGCAGCGATAATGACCGAGCTTTCTATTCGGGTGAAGATGGTAATTTGGTAATTTCAACTTCAGCGTGACTCTTTTTTTCTCTAGACGTTTGGGCTTGCGCCTAAGATGAGTTTCGTTTGCTGCACCCTAGCCCACACAAGGAAGTGGGACACCACGGGCTTTCCCTTCGACGCTCCGTCTGACATTGCTTCATATCTTCTTCTTCCTCTACTTCTTAAATTCCACAGTTCGCACTCACGTTGTGCATCTCCCCACTGTTATCCTGTTTCTCGTGCCAACTGTTTGCACTCCCTTTGCACTAATTGTCTCACCCGTGCGCACTTTTCACAAGCCTTCCCTCTTCTCCTTTCGGCCAACGTCTTTCCCCTTTTCATGGACATAATATCTGCTTTTCTTTTTATGTGCCCTTGCCGTGTAATCATCTTCTTTGTAATTCGTTGGAGCATGGATGTCGGATTGATGCTTGGAGTTGAGGTGCATCCCTGGCACTGCTGTCTGAGCATGCATTTTCTTTGGACATCCCTATCTCTATTCTTCTTCTTCTTATTATTATTATTTTGAAATCATCGATGAGGGGCCTACTCTTCTTACCTCTCTTCTTCGTCCTCATTCCCCTCAGTTCGCCCCCCCTTCAGCCAGTACCTTTCCCATTTTCGCACACATAATGTGCCTTCCTTACCTCCCTTTTCCCTTCTCGTGCTTCCCGCGTTATCTTCATCTTGCCCAGTGGTTCAAGTTTCCCGTTACTCTACGTGCTCCCCGCATTATCTTTCATCTTGCTCATTGGTTTGAGGATGGATCGGATGAATGCATTGACTTAGGGCAAGTCCCCTGCCCAGCAGTCCAAGCATGTGATTCCTTTGGACATTCTTATCTCTACTCTTCCCACTCCTGGCTGCTTCTCTGTGTCTCTTCTTCATGCTTTTTCGGAAGTTTTCCACTTGGCTCGTAAGCATAAAAGTTATTCCACTATGGACGCTTTTCTCTCTCCTCTTTCCCTTTGCAGATGGCTTTGTTGGCATGATGTTGGCCAAGTTAGATTCCAGACAGGCCTGGCATTCTGAGCACATCAAGCAGGGTGACGAGATCACTGCACCAGACCACGAGACCTTGAACAAGCCTGACAAGCTGATGGTTCAAGCAGGGTGACAGAATGACCTCTGGTGTGGACAGCTTACGCACGGGTAGATTGGAGGAGTCTTTCCGGCTCAAGGTTCTTTTTCAAGAGCATCCAGGACTCTGGGTTATGGTAGTGAGATTTGGATGGAGCAGCAGGGAGTGGAGCCGTTCTTGTATGAGCATCCTGTTCGTGGTAACTGGAAGTGCTTTCGTTTCCAGACTTCAAACTCTTTGCATGGTGCGTCTCAATCGACCGAACGGCGGATGTGTGTGGAGGTCATGCAGGAGTGTTTGGATTTTGCATCTCAGGCGTGGGCATGCAAATCTTTTTTTGTGTCCTTTCCTCCTCCTGGAACATTTCTTTTCGCCACTCGCTCTTTTGATTTGTTTCACATGCATGCTTTGTCAATGCATATGAATGAGATGTGAAAGGTCTTTCAGACCTCCGTCATCCCTTGGCTTACACCCAGAGATAACACTTATGCTGGATATGTCAATAGACTTGAATAGAGGTTTTGTGATTGTTGAAACCATCCCCCCCCCCCCCCCCCCCCCTCCCAATGTTTTTACCTGTTGGCGTGCCCACTGTCGATCCCTGGCGAGCCCATGGCTGAAAAATGGTTGTGATCAATGCCTTGTGTTTTCTGCTAGGGAGAATGTTACTATGCAAGGAAGGGGCTCTTTCTCCCTAGTCATAGCGATCGGGATAACGAGAAGAGTTGCATCTGCTTGAGACACTCCTCAGATTCCGATCCGTGCGAAGAGCAAAGCACCATCATGGCTGCACAGCCAGACGATCGGTTCGCCCCTGCAAGTCACGATAGTCTTCGTACGAGCATGCCATTGCTCCTACAAAGCTATGGAGTCTACTTCTTTTCTCCTTTCTTTTCCCAAGTATTCTTACCTTTTTCCCCCAGATCATGTATGCATAGGAGTCCTTGTGTGAGGACCGCTCATCACTATTTTTTTGGCTTCCTTCATTGCTCTCTATGTTGTTGTTGTTGTTTTCTTTTTTTTTTCTTTTTTCTTTTTTTTTAAGTACGTGGCTTTCCTCTTCTTACCTCCTTGGTTGCACGGTAAAGCCAAGCTGCCGCCCACAGGAGCTCATCTTCGTATCCGCTCCAGGATTTGTAGAATGGCTTTACACTAGGGATGCTGTCGCTATAGGAACCCCTGTAAGAGTCAGCAAAGGTGAACAATTGCCTTGCATGCTGAACTAGCACATCAGCATATCCTGGATTGACACGGCGGAAAGCAATGGATGCTGAGGCCAAAGCAGCTGCTCCTTCAGCTGCCACATCAGACCCCGGATGTGACATGTCCACTTTGCGCGATGGCCGAGGGGTCGTCATGTCTTCTGGCCTTACCCAACATGCATGATCAGTGTTACCATCTCCTACCTGCAAAATAATAAAAAGAAGTGCTTTCCCCTCCCCTTCCCTCCTTCGATCCCCTCTCCCCTCCTCCCTCCCCCCAGTAAAACCAAGAGGGCAAACATAAGAGCACGCACACCGAGGTGTGCAGAGTTACAGGGGCAGGTGCTGTACACCAAGTCTCCCCTGAGAGGTTTCTCAGACCACAACTTCTTCACTACTGAATCATCTCTTCATTTCCTGATTCTTCTGTGCCCCTCCCCACTCTCCTTCCCTTGTACCACCCCTCTCTCCTTCCTTCCCACTTCTTCCCCACTTGCTGTCTATGAGTGTCTATTTCCTGATGCTTGTGGGTGATAAGCAACCGGACGGTTGCCCCCCAGAATAAAGAGATGGGCCATGTGTGTGTTTGGAAAAAAAAAAAAAAAAAAAACAGACTTGCAATTTACAAATCGCAAGTGGTGTTTTCACTCTCATCCCAAATTTGAAGTTTTATTGCTTGTTACTGGAGAGTATTTTATGTCACTGTTCCCAGGAGCGCGCACCCTACAACTCGAGTAACAGATTGATGGATTCTATCCCTTGACTACCCTCTAACTACTACTAGTGTGTTTTTTCTTTTTTTTTTTAACTGTGTTCTTATGGTTTTCTTCATTACTTCCAGCATGGTTTTATGTCGTTGGTTCAGATTTTTGTTTCTTTTAGCACTTTGCAGAAAACAGATGATGTTGCTCATTTAAGATGAGTGATTGACTACGTTTGGTTCACTTTGCAGGCAACGTATTAATTGTTTAGAAGTCTTGAAAGGCTCTGATACAGTTCGGTCAGGTTGGACAGCCCTACGAGATGAGCAACCATCTCGCAGGGCTCAGAGCACAAATGCTACAGATGAATAGATGGAAAAGGCAGTCCATCAGTTTAATAACTTTAATTCTTGACTCATTTGTTTTTTAAACAAGAATAATTATTATATTATATGAAGACTCATGCGGAGCATCACGTACGTGCAAGTTGCGCACGTGCGCCGCATAGCGCATGTGCACACGTGCGCGCAACCGTGATGCGGCGCATTTACAAAATATTTTAAAAAATAATAATAAAAAAGGGTAGGCCGTGGTAACCATAATTGTCCCTCCCTTTTGAAAATTGTAAGTGCACAGAGAAAGAATATTTTGGGGCCACTTCGTACTACTCATTGGATATATTCTCCTTTCCGAAAGGGTCCCCTGCAAAGAATCAGCAGGGTTACCATTCTTTAGGAAGTATGTCCGTTGAACTGCTAGCAGACCTCGAGCAGGCCAGCAATATATCCTGGATTCGGATTCAGGTCTGTGTTTTAAGAGTTATGGGTTACAAACTTACTACAAACACTACATTAGCTGTCTCGTTTTTTTGTTTTTCCTTTTCTTACGTGCAGTGGCCCTCAGGGCCTTGCTCCACTCGTCAGCACTTGCAGAAATGAAAAACGTATGGCTTGTATGGTTCCAGTTTCTAGGAGAAGATTCATTCTAGTTTTGCACATTTGGTGAGTGGTGGAGTGAAGCCCTGAAAATCACATGCCGAGTTCGTAAGTCGGTAACCCATAACTGCTGAAACACGGACCTGAATTCGAGGCTACACCATATATAGCTGGTCTGCTCCCTCCAGTTACAAGTTGGGTGACTACCCGTCCAGTGACCACCCTTCTCCTGCCGACGGGACCCTTGCCAATTTTTGGCAGGGACCTTTTGAAGTACCAGCAGGGGTTTGTCTGAATAATCTGAAAGGTCTCTCTCTCTCTCTCTCTCTCTCTCTCTCTCTCTCTCTCTCTCTCTCTCTCTCTCTCTCTCTCTCTCTCTCTCTCTCTCTCTCTCTCTCTCTCTCTCTCTCTCTTCCCAGTGTGTATACAGTACTATACACACATCACGGTTGCTTTTTTTTTCTTTTTTTCTTTTCTTTTGTGCGCGCGCGCCTGCATCTGTGATCAGTGCACCGCACAGCACACTTCATCTACGTGCCGCAAGTATGATGAAGACCTACAGATTTTAGGAATATACTCCGTTTTGCAAGTACTTTCAAACAATTGATGATCAATTTCCAAAAACTAATTTTCAATTCGTTGGGTGGCAAAGTTGCAAACCATTTTCAGCAGAGATTGGGATCCCTATGGGGAAAAGCAGCAGGCCAACAGCAGGCCACTGTTGCGTACATTGCGAATATAATGAAGGGGTTTTTTTTTTCAGTTCCCTGGGAAGACGAAGGAAATTTGATCAAAAGGATAAGGCTGATATATGATCTGTGAATCTTCATCTGGAAAAGAGAGGTGGAGAAGGGGAAGAGGAAAGCTGAGGAAGTCATGAGGAAGGTAGAAGAAATCGAGAATAAGAAACTACAGCTGAAAAGAACGGATGAAGAGAAGTGGGGGTTCCTAGGTGGTGAGCTCACAATTACAAAGTTTCCACTGAGAATGGATTGCCAATATAAGACGAATTTCGTCCTATACTGTGGTGCAGCAAAAGCATGCAACTACTGTGGGGACGTTACACAGAATAAGGGCACGCATGAGCTGTGTGGAGTTGGCAGAGTACCTGCCGACTCTGAAAACCAACTCTGGAAAGGGAATTCATACTTCTTCAGCATCCCGTGAAGCTTTCTGATATGGTGTTGAAGAGCTACAAACAAAGCCCAGCATGAGCCCGGGTGGGCATAATTGCCCCAAAATACAGCTACAATGACCGTGTGTGCTATTCACGGGTAGACGGTAGGGGCACGAGGACCTTTCCTACTTTATTTAAGTTTATTACCTTCAATTATTTTTTGTACTCCATATCAAACTGAGGACAAAGCTATGACTTTGTTCATAGGATATCTAGTATGTACTCTTCTTCTTTTTTTTTGCTAACTTTTGTCAAAAATTTACTCACGAGTTTCTTAGCAAAAAAGCAGCTCATTCAGACCACTTTTGATATGAATGGCAGGGGTGAGGTGGTGATCCACAATTTACATAAACAGGCCTCCGCAGGACTACAGTGATAGATAGATTGGATAGTACCGACTGGATGACATACACCGTTCCAAACACACCTTTAACCACACACCCATCCACCCCTCCCAATGACATGCCGGAGCAGTGGGGGTTGACGGGGCTGACGCCAACAACCGAAGACACGGGAGACAGGAGTTCCGACTCTTCCGAGGACAACACAAACGGCACGAAAGAGAGGGAGGAGGACAGGACAGGACAGGACAGGAGAAGAAGAAGGAAAGGGAACGATGCAGCCCTCGATGTCCGCAACCGGATCGCAAACAGCAGAACTCTTACCGTAATAAAAGAATAAATGTAGTGACCCACCAAAACACAGACTGAGAACACTGCTGATTTCTGGGTTTTGCCGCTGGAATGTATGCCTTGCTGAGATTCCCGTGTTGTGCCGAGTTTCCTAAGTCTGTGTGTGTGTGTGTGCGTGCTTGCTGGTCCGTGTGCCTGTCTGAGTGCACGTCTGCCTGAGTGTGTGTGTGGCCCGACAGGGCACTTGTGTGGTGTGAGGCCCGCAGGGCCGGTGCTTACCTGTGGCCGTGACTTTGAGGATTGCAGAGAGGAAAACACTAAGTAGAGGGGAGTAGGCCCGTGACACTTCGGGCAGCCGGGGAAAAACACTCAAGTAGCAGGTAGGCCGGTACCACTCAAGTAGCAGCAGATGTGTAGGGAACTGGAGGCCGAGCAGAAGAAGACAAAAAGTTGGCATTTTTAGAGACCCAGTAGCGGTAGGCTAGAGGTAGGCAGGTACCAGTTAAAGTAGCCTGAGTCTAGGCCCTGTGCGGACGATGCTTCATGGCCTGTTGGGGACTGTGCTGGGCTCTTTTCCTCTTCTCAACAGTCTTGGTTGTGTGTGCGAGTATGTGGATTGCTATCTCACCTGATGGATGGATGAATGATGTATCTTGTCTCAACGGCATATCTCTCTACAGTGCATTGTCTTTTCATTTCTGAATGGTTGTAGTTAGTAGGTTCTTGCTGAAGTTGTCGTTTCCTTTTCAGTATGGTAGAGGCAGTTTGGGACCATCTTGGGACACCCTTCTGGTTGGTCCTGGTCCACGACCTACTTGGGACCCTTCGGGACTCAGTGGGACCAGGCCCAATGCCGTCAGTTGCATTGCTTTGCTGTGCTGCAACTGGGGGGACACACAGCTAGTAGGGACATTCCCTTTCGAGTGGATCTTGACTGGGTCTGACCACATGTTCTCACACACTGCCCCGCCTCTGGCTCGGTGACCGTCTACAACCCTCGAAATCTCCATTGCTTCAGTTAGTTCCTTCTTTTGTCTGACTTATCTGTGATGCATGTTCCATGCTGGGTTAGTCAAGAGGGGACCTCGAGTCCGATCTGACCGGACCCATTTGTTAAGTCGGACCTCTCTCCGATTTTTTTTGCTTTATTTTTAAATCCTGCTGCGTGGATGTCATTCTTTAGCCCAAATGAATTGCTGCTTCGGCTCGGAGATCTACCTTCCCTCTTGTGATTTTTTATTATTTTTTTTTAATCTGAAGATTTTGAACTATATATGTCCAGCATTGAGATTTTGCGCAAAAAGCAAGAAGAGAGAAGGGAGAGAGAAGGTACTGTTTTTTAGAGTGTGAGGAGGGGTAAGAGGTGTGTTCCTCCGAACATGAGCGAAGAGCAGACTCCTCTTGAGAGTTCTACTGACACCCCATCCTCCAGCATGGCAGACATCTCGTCTGCACAATGGCAGGCCATGCTGGACGCAGCGGATGAGAGAGGGAAACGCTTCTTTCAGAAACTTTATGATGAGGCATTGCAGAGAGAGGAGGAGGCAGAGGCAGCAACTAGAGAGACAAGTATTGCTGCCCAAGTGGCCCTTCAGCTGTTTCGGAGACCACTGATAGCAGAACCAAGAGCTGCAAGCTAAGATTGCAGGCCTCAAGTAGGCCCAACTGACCATCCCTCGGCCTTTTAATCCTCGTCCTGCTGCTGTCCCAATCTTTCCCTCTAACTCAGTCCTCATGCAGAGATAAAGTGGAAATGTGG